GGATTGAGATATTCTATTTCACATGTGGTAAAAGGGAAGCCGACACTTGGGAAAGCTAATGTGCCTTCACTAATTGGTTTTCCCCAGGGCTTGAGTTCAGAAGGCAGAAAACAGCCTTAACCATTTATTTCTGCATCTGTCATCGGCGCACAGCGTGCTGCAATCACTATCATCTGATCCGCTTCCCTTGACCCTCATGAATCAGCATGTCAGGCAGCCACATTAAGACGCAGTGTGAACTGAGAAGACTGAAGTGCTGTCTGGTATAAAAGATGCTCACGCTGGCCTGGATTCAGGAATGTTTCCCCACAGGCTGAAAGAAATTAGCTTTTCAGAAAACTGTTTCCGTATTTGTTTGAAATCAATCTTGAGAATCTTAATGAACATCATGTCGCCGTTTGACTGAAACACTAAAAACATCGGATTTACAGATAACTTAGTAAGATTTAACACATATCGGAAAGATGAATCATTTGCAGAGGTTAACAAATAAATAAAGTTGGTCAAGAATGTTTAATATTTATATTTGTGATTTTTTTTTTTTGCTGTATGATGATCACCAGCTGGAGGTCTCAGTCTTATCTTTCTGCAGGATCTTATCCCAACAGGTCCTCGGTTATTTGATTCAACCAAAACCATAAAAAAAGAGAAACCAGAGACTGTATGACATATGAACACATCTGAAGAACAAACAGACCAAATATGGAAAGCATATGGCCAAATTATGTACGCGATGTTTCTTTGGCCCGCCAGACTTGCTGTTAATAATCTAGTGGTGATGACACGCTGTGGATCCGAGGAATGACTTTCATCCACAAATAAGAGCTGATTTTATTGTTTAGCTGCTCTGTCTGTTAGCAGACTGGAGAGCGAGCGCGACGCAGGGTAAATGGCCAAAGGGCCGTTGGACACCGTTGCAGAGCCTGAATGTTGAAACAGCCATGAAAGAGTGTTGGGGCGAGCACAAAGACAGAGCTTGACATGACCTCATTAATGCAGACCTTCCTAATGCTTGCAGGTCAAGTGTAATGAAGACTTGCATAACCTCAACAAAACGACTTCTGAGGGTCATATTGTGATATTCGCATGATGTCAGCTGGGTCTATTGCACCGATTGCCCTTTGGGACTGAACGTGTGCATTCAACATTGTGAAATATGCTTCTTTTTGTGTTATTTCTCATAATACCCTAAGGTGATTTTACAACATTTATGTCTAGGCATTAGGTATGAAGTTTGAGCCTGCAGCTGATTAGCCTAGCATAGCATAACGTCTATAAATGAGTTAGTTATTTTGGCCCTCTTGTTGTTTATGTTTAAACAGAATGACTAGTGGCAGATAGGAAGGACATTATCTCATTATCATTCATGTTGGGGAAAAAAAGATGGAGGAGTCGATTTTAGCAATTTTAAATATGTTGCAGCTGAGCTTTATGGGGGTTTTATTGTATTTAATCACATGGAATATAGTATTGTGTGTTAAAATAGTATTCCAATAAAAGTTTCCGATTTTATTAAAGAATTTGCAACTCAATCTGTCTGTTGTTTATCATAAACACTCATCCACACACGCATGTCGACTATCGCACACAATCCCTTTAATAACTCGGAGGAAACAGTGCAGCCACGCTCCACAGAACCGACCCAAAGTAAAGGACACCCTGCATTGTAAACCCAGTGGATAACAAACTAGACACCATAACTGAAAGCAGACTTACTTCCCCTGGCTGGAAGATGTTTAGACAAGATCCTTATGTTGACAGGAGGGGTCAACATTCAGAGCCACTTAAGGGTAGATTATTGACCGTTTCTCCACGCAGTCTGCACAAATGGAAGAGACCAAAGCTGTCCAAGTATATTTGTGGACAGAGCTCAAACAAATGGACGAGCCATCAGACTGAATTACACAAGAAGATGTAGATATGGACGGACAGATATGTCAAAACACACACTTGCAGCATCTCTAATAGACTTGAAAGAGAAACACAGAGATAGAGAAGCCACTCAATAAAAAGGCCATTAGAGCTTCTTGCTGCAGCAGAAGAATCAGAAACATGATGGAAAGCCAATTAAACTTCATCTACAAAGGAAGAGTTAGACAGTTTACAAAAAAAAAATAATCTTGCAGCTGTCCTCTTTTTTTTTCTGCAGGCACCCACCGAGTGTATACTTTCTCATACTTCCTACAAGAATCCCTTATATGGGCTGTTACCTCTGGATGCATACTAACAGGTTTGTCTTTTATTCTTCTTAGAATACATTTACTTTTTCCAAAGCTAGATGATGTTGATGAAAAAGATGAGGCAGCAGCATAATTAACTATTCCTATTGAGTACAATATAAATACTAAACCCTGATACAGATGTAATGAAGCATGAACTGATTTTATTATGAAGTTCTGTCAATCGGTTGTATGTTTTTTAAGATGATTAGTAGCCTTTGGTATACCACACTTATTAGTAATGATTAGTCAACCGAAAAAAAAAAAAAAAAAGTTCTACTCATTCCAGTTGCTAACCATTTCTTCCTCTGAAATAAGTGAAGCAGTGAGGGGAAACCTATTCTTTTCCAGTATTTAGAGCTGCAAGTCAGGGCTTTATTCTTGATGTAAGGTCTCTGTTCATTACTGAGAAATTGGTTCATGCATCAAGAGCAAGAGGAGATTTTTTTGCACACTGAAAAACACAAAAAGGATCATCCAGGGCTGAGTCTATGCAGAGCTGCAGAACATGGAAGAGCTCCAGGTTGGAGCATTAGAACCACTTGAAGACACTTGCAGATAGATTACCACACATGACAAATGAAGCAACGAAATGAGGTTAACATGTCAGAGAACAGAATGTCATTCCACTAGTGGTGTCACCAAGATTAATAATAAAGAAAATGACATCAACAAATTCCCATGTAGTTAATTAATCCAAAACAAAGACAGTTTATCAGGGGTATTCCAGTGGAGACATAAAGGCGAGGGAATTGTTCTGGGTGTGAGAGGAGACGAAGGAGGAAGATTCATCACATCGGGTCGAGTGAACAGACGTCACACTTTGGGGTAGCATCGCAGCGTTTCCTTCTCACACAGGCTGAGCCAGGATTAGGTTCTGCAGGCAGAGCCGCCGTCCGCTTTCTAAATCTGCCTGCCAGTCTCTCCATCAATCATTCAGAGCGCTCCAAATGATGTCACTCCTGAAGTCATAGTAACAATGTGATAAACATCCTGCTTAAGAATCACACCAGGAAAATGCTGGGAAAACAATGAGCTAAAGAGAAATGGGACATAAAGAAGCATGGATACTTAATCAAATGGCAGGGATTTCAAGACTTTGAGTTACTTGAAAAGAAGGATGTTGTGTGGGAATGAAAATGCTCTACAGTGAGTCACAACTGGGGATTAAGGGCAAGGTTCTGGTGTGAAGAAAAAAAAGTAATAGTGATTGAATGTCTTGTTTTGAATAGGCACTCAATGTTATGTTGAGTTATTCTTAAGGCAGTCATTAATTTGAGGCATCTTAAGGTTACAATAGCCACAGACTGAATGTCTGATCACAACATGTATACTGGATAAACAGAAAATGTAACCCATGGTAGAAAAAAAAACACACAGATTGTGTATATGTCAGGACATTGTAAGGGTAGTCCACCAAAGACTGCATATCTACGTTATCAAGTAGAGTCGGCTACAAACCTGTGCAGAGAGACTGATCTTTCTACTGAACCATATTGATCGTTATTGGAGAAAAATACTGCAGACATGGCCCGCTTCCTGTTTGTAATCTCTACTCCACGTTTGTGACTGCCAAACGGTCTGTTGTGAATTTGTTGAGTATTGTCGACAGAACGGTGGGAATGTTTTTAACTCTGCTAGAAAGAACTGATAGGTCTATTCAAGTGTCACAGAACATGCTTATCAGTGAGAACTTCCTCTTCACAGATTAATAACGCGGCACTGTTAAAAGTCTTACAATTGACTTATCAAACCCCAAGCAACAACAAGTGGCTGGTTCAATGTCATTTGCATGATTCAAAAGGAGCTTATGGACTTGTTTTATTTCTCCCTTGTTGTCTCTCATTACGGCCCCCCTCTTCTACTTTTGTAACGCTATTATTATTATTATTATTATAATATGGAACTTTGTTACAAATTTGTTATGAACTTTTCAGTTTTAATGTTTCTATATATAAAACAGCAAAATCTGACAGAGCCATTATGAACTAACAACTTCATGAACTCAAATGGCTAAATGGATTGAAATTAGAATTTTTGTTGGGGTTGCAGAATTCAAAAAAGAAAATATTAAATAAAATACTTTTACCCCTAATGCTGGAAAATAGCTGGAACTGACCCAAATATTTTGAAGTTACTGGTAACAGGAGTCGATAGTATTTTTTTTAAACTGTTCCCGTCCCGTCATGGTAAGCCAGGTAAAAGGAAATGTTTGTTGGCACACATGAAAGCTTCACATTTAATTACTTTAAGTCAGCCTGGTTGTGGGGTTATTGTAATGCCTGTGTAATTTGCAGTCATCTTAAAAGGAATTTGGCATAAAACCGTTCAACCGTCACAGACCATTGCAGATAAACACCCAAAAAACAACGGAGTGCCTGAAACGTGGTTTCCCTTCCAAATGAATGGAACTTCACCTGAAGGTCTCATTATGCCTCAAGCAGGAGTCCTAAATCCCCATGAATTTTGTGTGAGCGAATGAGACAGTGAATGGCAGAGTGGCCATATTGTAGCAGACCTTTCCCTGAACTCAGTTTCCTCTGCAGGCATGTTCACTAACAGCTGAGGCCAGCAGGGGATCTACCCTGCTGGCCCAGTCATTAGCTCTTCTACAGAATGCTCCAAAAGCTGCTCTGCCAATGGACGCCAAATAACCCAGCCATCAACTCCATCACACACACAAGGAGCTTATATTCATACCATAGTAGATGAACTGCTCCTTTCAACCGTTCAACACCTTGCGTCCTCGTCTGTACAAACACGTTGCATATGACAACATCGGTAGTTTCTTCTCCCATTTATTACAAACACAGTATTCCATTTCCAACAGGGACAAGATCATATAGAAAAAAACAGTTTAAAAATAAAAAAAGCAATAATGTAAAGTTATCATAACAACTATGATAAAGACAATTCATGTTACTTTTAAGAAAGGGGGTTGGGGTACCGTTTTTTTTAAGAATGCTGTAGTCATATGACATGCTGTCCTGTCTTCAGGCTGGATAAGATTAAGAGCTGCACTGCAGTGTCTGTAACTACTGAGGTATTGCTCCTGTGAACTTGTGTTTTTGCATTAAATGCACGGCTGACACGACTAGTACAAGCGCTTACTCCAATTGTCATACACATAGGTAAAAAGTACAGCCTTCAGCGAGTATAAATAATTTGTTACGACTTAAGATGTGTACAACATATTTACAACTAGAGATGTCCATATATCCCAAACAAAGATTGTCACAGTAAATACGGTTCTATTAGAACCTTCACAAAACCCACATTAGACAATGGTATAAAAATAAGTTAAAAATCTGCATAAATATTTTACACAAAACAGTTATAAAATATGCGTTTTTTTCTGACAAGTTACACAAAACAGTTTTTACAACATTGGGTATTAAGTATTATTTCAGTTTGATGCTTTAAAAAAACCACATTCATTTAAGTTGTTGATAAACACAAACTTTAGAAAAAAGTGTTGTCAGCGATTACATCACCCTCGGCTACGACAGTCATTTCAGATATACAAAATTCAAAAAGGGAAGAGTAGGAGAACTGCAGCATTGCCAAGTTATACTTCCTTTAAATCGCCAGTTCAATCCTCCCGTTCAGCCGAGACAGATGAAGAGTGTCCCATCCCATATAGATAACTTCCTATGAACAAGCTTCTCCTTAAGTATCAAGTCCACAGAGGAGTCCTTACAGGCTGAGCATAAAGACAGGAGAAAGAGACAGAGAGGATGAGACGCTCTCAGTGTGGCATCAGAGAGATCAAGGTTTGAGGAATGGGCTTCATGCTGGGGTTTCTGACATTGAGCCGACGTCCTTTGTCGACACATTACTGTGAATTTTAGAGCTTTTACTTGACTAAACTGCTGAGGTCAATTAAAGAAATAATGAACAAAAACCAAGAATTACCTCGTGCATAAGTGAAAACAGGCGATGCCAAGGGTTGTGGCTCCAAAATGGCCCATTTCCCAATTAATTAGCTTCACAGTACACAGGAACAGTGACACCGTGGGCGATGAGTAATCATCTACAATGAAGTCTCACCACAACGCAGAGCCAGGACCACGGGTAATACTGTGATTGCACAAACATTACCATAACATCAAGGCATCGTCTTCATTTGATCTACTAAATAGCACAAAGACTGTAGTGATTTTTAAAGTGTCCGGTGCTACAGTAACGACATGTGGGCTTTATGGTTGAGGCTACAATCAAGAATTCAGCAGCACTCTGTTTTATCTCTATATAAAGACGAACAGAACTATGAAGCTCTAAAGCTTTGCAGGGATGTTAAAAAAAAAGATATACTCTTCTTATGCATCAATATAGCTGTTTGTCTTTATATCTGTGTCTACACAAATGCTTCTGTTAATCGAGATGTTTTATTTAGTCATTTATTTTAGTCAATTAGTCAGAAATTCAATAGTTTATAATATTCAAATTATACTTATATATATAATTTGTATAAGGTATATGAAAGTATATGTCTATATCTAGACCATTTAGTGTTTAAACCAAACGAACAGTATGGTGCTGTGTGTGTAGAATCCATTGATGTCTAAGGATATCAAGTTTACATCAATTGACATTCATCTACAGTATATGACACACACACATGTGGAATTGCTTCAGCTTACCTGCGTTTCAGACGTTTCTGAGGAAGTGCTCTAAAAAAGAAAAAGAAAAAAAATAGTGAGGCCATTTGGCAAAGAGACTCTTTGATGTGATCATGTTTTCGAGCTGACTTTTGAGCCACAACATGAAAAACACTGCTGGGAACATAACAATCCGAAGAGGCCACCATTGTCAGTCGCTTTCTGACCATCCCATTTACACATAGAGGTGTTCAAGTACCCTACTATATTAACTGCCACAGGCACCAAGCACCTCATTTGTTGGGGACATTTCATGCATTAGGACAACCTTGACATGGACTGGCTGAGTGCTGACGGTTATATTCACTGTGAAACCAGAGTCCAGCAGCAGCCCCTGCATTTACTGAGCCTTCAGGTCCAATTAAAATCAGCCAGCCTGTCTGCTGATCAGCACACTAGTGAGCCATATATCTCCTGTAAGAAGACCAATCTGTTATTTTGGGCACATTGTTCTGCTTTCAGGGTGCATTTGTAGTCTTTTGTGGTATACTATAAAGAAACCCATTTTTGTCCTCTCAGTGATTTTTTTTCCCCAAGCCTGCCAGGATTCAAGTTACTGCTTAGATTATATTTTTCAGGAGGTATAGGCTGTGGAGTCACATTTTCTGTGGAGTTAATTTTCTGGTTAAAAAATATATACTGTTATAAGTTCTATTAAGCTCTATTTTTTTTATTGCATCACATACTCAAATTAACCTTGTTTTTATTATATTCATAGCTTGAATTTCCCAAAAGATAATATAACTCTTGTATATAATAATCAGGCCTTTATTATTATAGCCAAAATATGCTGACAAATACAATGAAATCTTGTTACAGGAGATGAATGACATTCCTGTCATAACTTGATTTTTTAAACAAATAGTTGCAGCCAGGAGTTGCTGCCCCCTGGTGGAACAAAGTGATAGTGATGCTGCACACGCTGAAAAACAGGTGTGAGGGCAGAGGCAAGCGATTGCAATCACTTTGTTGTGGCACCCATATATTCACACAATTAGTTATTCTAAGGGATAGGTGATATTGACACATGGGCCATGTGTGTGGCTGAGAGAAAATACGTTATTTAATCAATGTTTGTTTGTGTATCTGTGAATGTGCAAAACGAGGCCAACAGCATCATCATCACTCACCTGTAGATGTTGGGGTCAAGCTGCATGGCTGTGTCGTGCGGTAACTGGGACAAGTGCACCACTTTGGTCTTCAGCCCAGACCTTTCCGTTTCATTCACCCACACGTCAGGTAGTCTGCAAGAGAACACACACACACGTATAGAGAGATGTGGTCAAGGTTTGAGCACAGATGAGAAAGATGGAGAGAAAAGGGGGGATAGAGTGAGGGGAAGGTTGAATGGATCCAGGTGAGAGATGAACAAAGAGCCTCATTGAGTCCAGCACACATGTTAACACCTCCCTCTGAACACCACTGAGTACATTTCCATAAGTAACATGGCCTTGACCAAAGCCTGACACAAATGCACATGGGTGGGTTCACAGATCTGCACACAGACAAAAACAGGAACAGGGGAGAAGCGTATTGTCTTCCAATGTCAATGATTTAAAAAACAAACGTCTACACCATCTTCAAAAAGGTTTTTGCTCACTGTTAATACATCTTAATAAAACAAAGGGGCTGCCAGGGAAAGACTTTGTTTGTGTTGTGTTTTCATGCATGTGAGAGTGTGTTCTTGTGTTTTAGAAATGATCCATCACGAGCTGGTTGTCCTCATTGCAGCAGCAGCAGGTCAAACCCACTGCCCTTCTTTGAAGCCTGCATTACCATGCCTCTAAGGCTGTCAATGTCTAGTATGGACAAAATATCTCCATAATTCTTTTGAAAAAAAAAAAAGAAGCCTGCATGCATATGTGTTTTTGTGTGGTGCAAATGATCCTTGTGAGATCATTTGGAGCATTCGTTTGAAAAAAAGATGCTAGGCACCTTTAAATCAGAACAGCTTGGTTTTTTTCATGTCTTTAAGCTGCAGGGTAGGGACTTGATGTCTTTTGAGTGACAGGCACCAACACACATGTGCACATGGTGTACTGTACGGCTCAGCTGCACCTTACTGTACAGTTTGATCCCCTGTGAAAGAAGGGAGTGTGTGAGAGCACTGGCGTGGCAAGTCGAGGTGCAGAGGAAACAAAGAGCTTAGCGAGTCGAGTGTGCCTCCCCTCCTCCATCAAGCACCCCACCACCCCACCTCCCCACCCCCCTGTCTCCACCCCCAGCATTCCCCCCGTCACTACGTGCGTCATCACAGGAGCCCCCAGAGACGCAAACATACACGCATGCACATACACATTCACACACACACACACACACAGACACACACAGACACACACACACACACACACCTTCTGCAGGCAGCCACCCAGCCAAATCACTCATTCACATGCCTAGTCAGCCCATTCAGCGGGACGGGGTGATGTTTGAGCTTTACATGCAGCACATTCAGTACAGTGGAGTGCAGGGTGGAGGTAGAGAACAATAGAGAGGACAAGTGATAGAAAGCAGAGAAATGAAATGAAGAAATAAGAGAAGAGAGAAAGTGGTGAGGAGGGGGGGAAACATGGCTCATGTTAATGTACAACAACTCGCTTAAACAGTGATTGCAAAACCTTTTATGGCCTGTTTAAGTGCCTGGAGGACGGGTAAGCTGCATTGGATAATTTAGTGCAGACTATAAAGTTCAGAAAACCCTCGGTAGTGTACTCATGCTCTACCAATATCCAACCATGCACTCAGTAAAATCCTTCAGGCTATAATAGTTAAACAAACATTCTAACTAAGTGTGACTTGATGGTCACCACTATCACAGATTTCAGTCTAAAATTATGTTAATCCTGCAATGATGGGAACAAACAAGCATGTATTTACAACAAAAACAAAAGAAGAGCTTACTTCACAAGCTTTTATTCTCCATTCAAGACAAATTTAAAAAGCAAACTATACTGCTTAAGAAAATTAAAGCTGACAACGGACGGACAAGTAATCCGACATAGTGTCAAACTGAGTTTAAACCTCAGTAGACTTAAAAAAGTTTGTTCCCCGAAAATAAACTTTTAAAGATTGGGAGAGTGAGGCTTTTTTTCTCAGTTGGTAGAGCACGAGCCTATGTACAGAGGCCACAATCATTACAATGATTGCTGAATTGACTCCTGGTCTTGACACTTTTTAGTACATGCCATTCTAATTTCCTCCCCACACCTCCTGTCTCTTATAGCTGTCCTGTAAAGGAACGACAAAAAGGCCAAATTCCTTATTATATGTACATCAGAGTATTATTATAAATACAGATTTGTGTATATTTATGTTTATTTTATTTATTTTTCACCAAGGGCCTCAATAACTAGAGTCTTTCATCTTACCCGTCAACAGAATATGGCAACTGTGAAAGAGTCTTTATACTTGAGTGACAGCAAGGGGTGGGGATTGTATGAGGGTGGGAACCTGTTGTGTTAATGTGTGTAATAATGCAAAATTCAATAAAAATAACTGAGGAAAAAAAAGCCCATATAATATTTAGAAAAATAAAAAGGGGAAAGAGGAAACATGGGCGAGAAACATTAGGAAGAGAAAGTCCTAAAATAGATCAATCAAATTAAGAAACTCACCCATGTATGATTATTTATGAAAAATGATTATTTTGACGGCCTGTGATTATGATTATGAATTTAACCCTCAAATTACATTTTTACTTAAGTTTGTCTCTCTGTTAATTTGGCGAGCAAGGCAAAAGTGTATCCATCCCCTTTAATGGAGCCACAGTAAAAAGAGGAAGTAAAGAAGAGACAAGACAAGAAACAGAGCCATTCAGCCCGTATGTTTAGGTAAGTCTTGAGTAAGTAAGTGTCTTTGGGAAAAGCAAACCTCAAATGACAGAGGAGGACCTGCTGAATGTTAAATATACAGTAAACTCATGTGTGTGTGTGCACACATGTTCCAGTCCAGAGTAACTTTAAACATGTCAGAGTCAGTGTGCTGTGGTACAGATGAGTCATTTTTTTTTTTTATGCTTGTGAGGCACAACCGAGAAACAAACTGGGGGTCAGCATGTTATGCACTCACATACACAAAAGTGTTAACATCAGTCCTTTCCATGCACACTAACATATCCTCAAATATCTCTCCACCCAAAGACCCAATCAAGTCACATTGAGACAAATCAAGACAATTGGATTTTTTTCCAGAGGAGACTCTTATTTGGCCTCTTTAAGATCAAGAAATGTATACTGTGAGTGAGGCCTCTATGAGGGGGACTACAGGGCTATCAGCCAGAGTGAAACCCACTCTTTCAGCCTCGATGGATGGATCAAAGACCTTGAACCTGCCAGGAGCAATAAGCTCATCACAAAACAGCTTGTTAAATCACAAGCATATTAAATGGTTTTATATGTTACTCAGCAGGAATTATTGCAGGAGATCTATTTTCTTATAAACAACATTATCCTGTAAAGTAGAAAACAGGTGATGTAGAGTTTGAGTTCTGGGACTTCAAAGAAGAAAATGCAATCTGAAATGGAAGCATCTTATATGTATTGGTTTATAAGGATTTTATTCCCATGGAGCCATATTTAAAGAATTGGGCTGACATTACATTTTATGAACACAGATAATTGTGCCTCACATGTATCAATGGGCTTTGAATTATCAGTCAATGTAGGTAGTTATGTGAATGCATTGAAGTTTGAAAAAAGAACGAGTGGCCATAGTCTTAGGTTAGCCGTGTGTCTTTCTTAGAAAAATCTTACCTCACAAATACATATTGTAGACCTTTTGAATTTGTATTTTTGTATACCCTTTGGTGGAACTTTCTAAACTACTTCTGACATTTTAATTCTGTTACCTTCCAGAGTTCTTGCCTTCACTTTTTAAACATCATTTTTTAAAGCTGCTATACAAGTAAAGTGTGTCGCTGGCATGTGCGTTTAAACGTTCATGTACTGCTGTTTAATGATCAAAGATCAGAAAGAAACTACATTTAGATGTCACTAACAGACCATTATCTTATTAAAGGATCCTACATCAATTCCCTGATTCTGTGATTGTCACCATTTGATGTGATGTATAGTAGATACTAAGACTTGTTTCATGGGGAGGTGTATGAAAAAATGGTGCATGGGTAAAAACAAACAACTGAATATCATGGACCAGCTAACAAAAGGTTTATGAGATACAGCAATGTTGTGCTTGTAGTTTGTCACAACTACTGTGCCAGTGACTCCAGGCGATCACTGTCACTGACAGCGTGTTCTACTGTTTGTTATTCTGAAGCATTCAACAGCATGCAGGGGAATCCATTCAGCCATCCATCAAAGATTAGACGGCAATTATAGTCTTCTCGTTGTCAAACCCCTCCACACACACACACACACACACACAACAACACACACACACACACACATATATAAAGACACACACACACTGCTCAGTGAGCTGCTGGTGGCTCATGTTCAGAATGGTTTGTGTTAATCAGTTACTCATTAACCCAAATGGAGTTAATGAGTGTCAGTCAGAATGTGAATAGCCTGCTCTACCATTAATAAACATGACTTCCCACATTAACATGGCCAATGATTGACTCGGTTACTGAGAACATGCACTTAAACAAACACACGCCCACAGATGAACACATTCACAGTACAGTACTTGATGTTGACGTTGGTGTTGAGGGTCACGACACATGATTGTTGAATAAATGACCATCAGGCTGTGTGTCAGATACTAGGACATTACACAGAGCCAGAGATTAGATATTAACTAGGCTGAAGCGGGACTCACTGCCAACCGTCCATGTCTAAAAATGTTACATTTTGAACAGAGGCTGCTGGCCTGTCAAGCTTTTATTTGATCCTCATGTTGGAGTGATGTCCATGATTCTGTACTAACAGAGAGCTACATGGCATTTAAAGACGGAACATGCTGTCGTCTACTGTTTAGCCTTTCCCATGTATTTGCATTGGTGTAGGGAACGGATTAATCAGTGTGTTTATCTCTTCTAATGTAAGCTGTCAAAGTGGTTGAAAGGTAATGCAAAAAGAGCTGCTTGGTAACATATGCATTAAAAGGTACAAGACAAAAAAAATGACACATACATTTGAAGTGTTATCATCATCACATTGTCATATTCTATCTGTTGGGAGTTATTACAACTGTGCTCACAGCTTAAGGTAACACTGTACATTTCCTTTACCACCCCTCTATGGATTGGTTCTCTGCATATTAATTACCAGCGCCTGCCAGCCGCGGGGCAAATATATGACTCAGCAGCGTCTCTGATTTCTCCTGCATGGATTAAGCCAAAAGGCCTCTCACTCTCTTTTTTTTATCTCTTTCTGTTTAATACTCTCCCTATCACTCACTCTCTGGTTTCCTTCTACCACATTTCTCTCCTCCACAACCATTTTCTTCCCACTCCCATTTCTCACTTTTCTCCACTCTCAGTCGGCTACTTTTTCCCCTCATCCATTCTGCTCCTATCTACGTTTGAGTCACGATATCCATCTCCATTTGTGTCTCTCTGTTTGGAATTAAACGGAGGAGTCTTTCCTGATCACCAAACTTCATCTTTTTCTTACTCCCCCTTTCCCCTCATTATTTCTTTATGCACAGGATTTCACTCCCACATGCTGGGTGGGGTGGGGTGGGGTGTGGAGGGGAGGGGAGAGCAGAGGCGGATCAGAGAGGAGAAAGAAAAGAAGAGGAAGTATGCAAGGATGAAGCTGCAGCAGGTTTATAGAACAAGGTTTTGGCAACGGAAGCTGTCAGCTGAAGTTTACTTCATGATGCATCATCCAAGTTTCTCTGCTGTTTTTTTTAAATCCATCTTTCCCCCTTTGATTTCCAAACTCAAATGTGTCTTCTTTGACCTTATTCTGGTTTCCTCCCTCAACCCTCCTCTTCTTCCTCCCCCTCCTCCTCTCTCTTTAAACACCTCTTTCCCCTCTGGCTTGCGTCTTCTTATCCCCCACCTGTTTTCACCTTCTTTCCACCTCACTTTCATTCTTCCTCTCTCTCTCTCTCTCCTCTCTGATCATCCTCAGAGACTGTGCAGTCAACCCTTTAATGGGGTAGTGGGAGTGTGGTGGAAGCTTCCCCTGAGCTGAAAATCACATCATTCTGGGAAGCTTTTTCTCTCTATGAGAATAACACATTTCATAAGGCACAGTGCAGAACCTGCCTGCACTTCTGCCCAATTGCTTAAATGACCTGGAGCATAGGAGGGGCCATGGTTTCCCTAAAGTGGGCTGGGAATAGGTAAATAGTCAGCAGGGGATGTCGCTCATACCCAATGGACTAAACATGATTTTTACGGGATCCAGAGCCACAGAAAAACAAATGAACAGCTGATTCTGATTCAGTGTTTAGAAGAGAGCTTAGTGCACCTGAAGATGGTACAGAACCAGTGACAGACCACAAATGGCTGAGGAGGTGAATCATAACACGAGGTGATGATAGTAGCAGATAAATATGCCCACAGATCCCTTTGAAGAGAGACCTTGGGTTTCAAACAGAACTGCTAGCGTGACATGGGCAGAATAAGGATCTTGACCCCTCACACTAAAGGGCTCTCCACACAAACATTACATCAGCCAAGGGAAGGCAGTAACGTTAGATTTATAGGAGGCCCTGACATAAGGGAAGGTCACTATGTTGAGTGCACAACTGGCTGGATAAAATAACCATAAAACTATCACAGTGCAATACACACGGTGCATTAGTGATGTTCACTTGTATGTGCATGCAGCCCTTCTGCTGCTCAAAAAGGAAATGTTTGTGTTTCAGTCCCACCTCTTCACATGGTAAGCATGTGCAGGAGATCGTACTGTGTTAAGGATATGTCACATTTTAAAAGCAAGTAATGAAGTCCAAAGTGCTCAGCTGCCATGCATTCAAATCCTATACTGATAAAAAAAATACATATTTAATACTCATTTTTTGTTTTGTTTAAGGATAAGGATGTTTCATGATTTATGATAGTACCTTGCATTCCCTTTTCTCCTTTGAAGTTTTAAGAAAAGATGAAAAATCCAGATTTCCATGAAACAAAAAAAATGCTAAGCTGTTGGATGCTGCAGGGACTGTGATAAAATGTTCAACTGAGTAATACGAGTTCCATCACTGACATTAAATGTGCATATAACGCTGGTTTCTACAAGCAGGTTTCACAATACGTCTAATTTCTTAAATTGTAGCAGTGTGGCGTGAATAAATGTCGTTTTAATCTCTACTTATCGGATCACCTAATTCATGCCGCTACACAGCGTTGTGTTTCATATCAATATATATATATATTAATGTGGCTATAAAAAAGTGTGCTGTAGGGAAAGATTTACTCACATGTCCTCAGGTGTCCAATGTAGGAGGACCTTCACCTTGCCAGATCCCTCTTTCCTTTTGGCAAGAACCTGAACAGAAGAGTAAATAAAACACAAGAAGATTCAAAAAGTGCAAAGAGCCTAATCATTTCACCACCACAGTCTTTGATCAATCAATCAATCCGTTTTATTTGTATAGCACCAATTATAACAAACATTGCACCAAGACAGAGCCGTCTAGACCGTACCCTTTTGTTCTATTATTTACAAAGACCCAACATTAATCCACCATGAGCTCAGCATTGAGCAACATTTAGCAAAGTAACAGTGGCAAAGACGAACACTAAAAGTATGTTTGACTCTACCGTACTGTACCAACAATTGACGTAGGCATATGTTTCAACCCACATGTTATGGCTGATTTCAAGTTTCAAGAGAGTTATTGATTTTACAAGCATCAGATTAGCAGAAATGTGTTGGTTTGGCTCTGATTGCAGCATCGTCTCATGCCTGTGGAGAGCAGGCTTCAAAGACATGCCCCGGTCCGGGCCCTTCTTTCTAGTGCATAATGAGGCTACATGCTTCAAACATCTCACCGAGTGATACAGTGCCTGATCATTACACTAATAAGCAATGTGAGCCCTCTTAATAATGCATGCAAGAGCGCAGTGAGGTTTCCATTTTCAACAGGATCTCTGACACATTCCCCTGCAACAAACTGTATCCAGGGAATTCAAATCCAGACAAAAGTTCGATAGTATCTGGACTTCACGGAGAAGTGCTTATCGCAGCTGACATTCTTTAGAGACATGGGGGAGCAGCTATCACCAGAACTAAGTCAATGCTCTTCTTGTGGATTCAGTGAGCTCCAGACACAACAAGTTTTTTTTTTTTTTCTTCTTTACACCAGTCCTACGGAAACCATCGCCGCACATCATTTTCTGCAAGTTGGTTTTCCATGTTTTTGTGACTCAGCTTCATTTCTCAACCACTGTAGTCAGACAACACAAAGTCAAACTTCAAGGCCTTTTCTTCTTGTGATAATACAGTTGAAAGACATGACCAGATTTCCTGCATAGTTTTACTTTTCATGCATAACATCTCAGCTATCCTGCTGTGTTGGTTGATAGTAAAACGGGTCTGGTATTCGCACAAATATTGTCAGAAAGGAAAAGAAAAAGTTAGAAAAATAACCAGGAGAGTCAAAAATAGCCGCAAATATAACCTCTTGCGTCAATGGGCTCTTTTTTGTAAGGAATGTCTATTTATAGGAGAGGGAATGAGCTCACATGTGAAGAAGCTCTCTTACGCACATGAATATCTGAAATTATTTTTGGGACTCGAGGGACTGGCTGCAGCTTTGATGGAAACTGGTTTGAAGACAGGAGGGAGACTGTTCTCCGGAGACAAGAGACAGAGACCTAGAAATCACTTTCGTCCTCATCTTACAGCTTTTCTTCCTCTTACACTTCAGATGTAAAGCATTTAACAATCTTATTGTTTTCAGGAAACACATCAGTTTTATTTATAACACCGGTCTGACAGTTTGATACATTTTTCAGCTCAGGCCAATTTAGTTTACTTCTGTCTGGCATTAAATAATACATTTGTTTTTTTTTGTATCCATACTTAATACTCTATACGCCATACTAAAAAGAAAGACCCACTTTGCATTTTGCTGTGAATACAGAAGTGGCAAAAAGAAGTCGGCAAATCCACATTTATATTTAGGTATCGAGTTGTAGAGGTTTTTTATGTTGGGTAAGGCGGTGTCTCTGCAAAGTTTTTAGGAAAAAAACAGTTTGGTTACAGTTTCAAGACATATTCACACTTAGTCTCTTTAGTTTTTCTTGGTCTATGCTTCTCTCCTATAATCTTGTATTGAACCTGTATAGTTTTCCAAATTGAGGATATGTGGGAACACACGGGTGTTGGGTTTTTTTGCATACTATAAAGATAAAAATAAAGGAACCCTTTTTTTTTTTTTTTTTTTAAGTGTACACTTTGTCTTGTATTTGCCCTTTAATAAAAAAAATATGGGGGGGAAATAAAACTGTTAATTATGAGTGTCAATTTTTTTAATGCATTTTTAACGTTGTTTAAATAATTAAAACATTGAACTTGTTGTAAATCTGGTTTCTGTTGACGTCATTTTTGTAACTTGAATTCACGTTTGCCGACTCAGGTCAGCTGACCTCATTTGCTCCCGACTCTCCATCGATATGAGACTTCTGATGCTGTTATCCCGCTTTCCAGCTAACACATCTGCATCATGTGTAATGCCGGCCACGGAGGGAAGAGAAAGGAAGTTTGGTTTCTACTCAGCTTGTCATTTGCTATAGTAGCCTAGAACAGTGAATTAAAGGTCCTGATTGGTCAAATGGTGAGGGGGAAGGTCAGAGAGTACATGAATGAGTACAGAGAATACAGCTGAAATTTTGACTTACATTTTGAATGAATCCAGGACCTTTAAGGATGTAATGTGTTCAGATTAAATGATTTTACTGGATTGTGATCGTGGTGACCCTTGCTGATGCAGATGGATTGTTTTGGAATACACCAGCAGGTTAATCTGTGCACTTCGACATAATATAAATGTTTTTCTTTCTAATCAGCCTCTTTTCAAGTCTGCATGAGGTTAGAGATAGCAGCAGCAGTAACAGCTTAGCATCTGGATGAAAAGGAGGGATCTCTAAAGAGCAGACATTGCGCTTGGATTTAAAATGATTCTATTTAAAGACGGCCACAAAAATCAAACAAGTAGCAAGTAACTACTCAGCTCCAACTACTGAACATTTGACTATTTCACGTACTCTCATGTTGTGTGGAGAAGCTCCCTTTGTTTGCCTGCCTGCACTGTGCTTTTAGCCTGTTTCTATAGACACACATACCCAAAAATAAAAGCCAGAAAGCGTAACATTATCTCTCACTAATTCATTTGAAAACCATGATCCATGCTTCCAAAATCAGGTCACGCTCACAATACAATAATTTTTTTTTTCTATTATTAAAAGAGTTCGAATTTATATTTAAGACCTCTCTGTGATGTTTCCAAGTCTCGCAGACAATTAGTCTCACCTCATAAATTAGCATTGTCATTGCATTCTGTTCTTATTTATCTGGCTGGGCTTTTATCAGCTAGCTTTCCATTGGGGCTTGGCTGAACAGCGCTGCTCTATGATAACTCCCACACGGAGGAGAGGAGACAACAGCAGGGCCAGCATTAGCCTGAATCCTGTGCGGGCTCTACAATAAGTGTCTCAATCCTTGCAGCTAAGACGCACTACACCAGCGGCTGCTTTATTGCCCTTTTAATAAAATAAAATAAAATAAAAAAGCATGTTAACCCATGACCTTAGGCCTCTCACAGCACCGGGCTAATAATCACAAGCCCAGGCTACACCTAAAGAGGCCATGACCATGTGAAGGCTGAAGAAGAAGGGATGAGTTTGTGTTTAAGCAGCATGAAGTGATTAGTGAGCTGAGTGGTTTGTTGATGGTAGTCGTGCTTTAAGGGACAGTCCTAATCCTTTATAGAGCTGAGAGAGGGAGGTAATATATCGACATGGAGGGAGGGAGAGTGTCGGAAACAGGGAGTGAACAGTGGAAATTAGTGTGGCTCCAAAACAAGGCAGTGAAAACGACAGACTCACAGCCAGGGGAGGGCAGGCTTGCTAAAACTGGGTGCCTGTCTCGTGTCAGGGGGTCAGGCTGCGGATGACGCAGATTGGCAGAATAACAAAAATATCCCATCATAAACATTCCTGAGTAGCTCTCGTGTATTAGAAGGCCCACCAGCCAAACTCCACAGAACCCCCACGGCTATGCTCCATCGCCCCGGGCCTGGGAGGGTCCGCTGGGGACTGGGGTTTGACGTAGCGCCGCAATCCTTCTCCACCACAACCCTCCAGGGGTTAGAGAGAAGGAGAATGCATGCCAAACTGGTCAGATCTCCATCCGATTTGAAGACCCTGACCTTCACTTAACCCCCCCCCCCTCCTCCTTCCTTGTCCTTTCTCTTAAAGTTTTTGTTTCTCTCCATTTGTTACTCACCCTCCCCTGGCTGTCTCTCACTCCTTCTCAGTCGCGTTCCAAATATGTGGTTACCTCCCTTAACCTCTTCCCAAGCTCTATCTGCATCTTTTTTTCTTCAGCTTTTCTTTTAAAATTCTTGGCTGCTGGTGAGCAGTTGAGGTTTTACAGGAGCAGAGCAGAGCTGAAGAGCAGACCATTACTATAGTGAGGATAGCACTGTTGTCAACAAGGTTTTTTTTTGTTTGTTGTTAATCTGATTTGAGTGCTGATTGTTAAACTGCATTTCCATTGTCTTGTTTTATCCATCTAGCAGGCTCATATGCTAATGTCAAGTGACAAGTGTGCCTACCTTCCCTTCATTGGCTAGCACTACCTAGTAATTGCTGTGCATGTTGAAAATGACATGCTCACTTAAAAAGCCAACACAGCTTTTTCCTGTAGGCCCACATGGTTGTTGGTGCTGTCAGCTGAGAAGTAATTTAGTTGATGCCCCTGGGCGATGGATAATATTTCATTGAAACAGTTTCACAGTCCCCACCATTGTGTGTTTAGTGTCATGCCAGCACGAGTGAATTGGAGTGTCAATTGATGGTCACTGCTAAGATAGCTTTGTGGTTGACCAAAAGCTTCTGGTGAAAAAAGAACAGAGTTTCTGCAGTTTGAAATTATTTTTACGATTCAGTCGTGGCAGCGTGTTCCAAACAAATCTTTTTCATAAAGCTCTTCAATCCACAGAAATATAAAAGGAACTGCATGGCTTACATATAACCTTAGATATTACTTTATTTACTGCAAATCATGTAAAAAATGTGAATACTGAACAATGTTATCTCTCACTGCAGATGTGTATCATATTGAGTAGGCCTAGTGGTAACCCTGCATTGTACTTTATCAGGCATGCTGAACTCAACTCTTGGCTTCACAACTTTCTTTGTGCATGGTGACAACTCACATCCATGTCTAAGAGACACTAATGCAAACATGCAGTTCTAATTTATACTGATATTAAACTCTAATAAATACTTCAAAAGCCATGAAGTGTTATCTCGTGTAACTCTGCACAGAATGTCCCTTTTCTTTACTTTATGTAACTTTTAAAACAAACTCTAATTACTGGGTATTCTTTCTCCATGTTTTAAGAAGAAAACATAATTTCCATTTTAAACTGTATAATGACGCATACTTATTATACCCTCCTACTTGTGCGAGCATGTTTGTGGCTTCAAATTAGGACTGTATCCAAGTGCTTTGACAAGAAGGTCCCCCAGGAGAGGTTTCCATTTTCATAACAGGGTAGAACATGCAGTCTTCTCGGAGCAGTATACCAATTGTTTCTGCGAGGTTAACTAGCGGCTGCATAGTACAGTAGCATAGCGCATTAAAGATATAATCTAAATATAGGTTATCTCAGTAGGTGGGGAAACCAAATAGTTAATTCTGTAGTGTAGGAAACATTATACAGGTCAAAGTGATTGAGAACTGAACACTGTAAACGTTCTCACTGTCACTGACTTGACTGACAGTATTGTTCCTTTTAAGAATAATGAGACTTTGCTTAGAAAAAACTAAATGTGAACGTTTGTGTTTCTTCATTAATGTGCAGAATGTTACAGAAGGGACAGCAAGACAGCATACGTTGACCCTTTTCCCCTGACACCATGTAGTGTCAGGTTTTTTGTTTTTGTTTTTTACAGGATTGAGAGTGCCCCCTAGTGGAAGAATGCCAAAAAAGCAGTCAGTGAAAAAAAAACTGTCATTTACACAGTTCACAAGAAAAATGTAATAAAAGATAAAGACTGCTAAAGATTTCATTCATCCACTATATGAACAAATTGTCAGCAGGATGGAGAAGTGGAATCTTGCACTGGAAAATAGTTATTTTAAGTGTTAATATTTGCCCTCAATAGTGATGTGCAAATGCATCATAGAGCTCATTAAAATGTGCTTTGCACTGGGCTCAAAGTGGACTGAGCAACATACACAAAAACAAGCCAATTGTCTTTCCCAGGAAGCCTGATTCAGAGAAAAACAACATTAAGCCTTAGGGGCGATTCACAAGGTTCACTTCAAGTGCACTGAAGAAAAAAAACATGCATGGATTCTCAAATAACGGCTCATTCATGCCCCCTGTTGTCCAGAAAGAATATTACTAACGTTTTAAATTACTTGTCAGATAGATGGACTTTTTCTTGTACATTAGAGAGAACACATATCTATTAATGTCATTAGCCTGCTTGACATCTGGCTGTGTCAAGTGTCTCATAGTGTAGGAATACTGCTAACACAAATCAAAGAACTTTCCATGAATAGGTTTATAAAGTAAATATGTTTTTAAGCATAGTCTTCACAAAAACAGGATAGTTTGAGAATCTGTGATGAAGTATTTTTTTTTTAACTGAAGTAACTGTTTTTAATTTTTTTTCTTGTGTCCATGTTAGTTTGAACAATAAAACAAATAAACCTACTGTATCTAATCAGTTTTCATACTAATGCCTGGCTTAAATCATTTTCTGTTGTACATTCACCTTTAAAAGAAGATATCCTTTATTAATCCCTGGAGGGGAAGTGTTACACTCTGTTGTTGGAACACACACACGCGCACAAACAGGATCCCATATGGACATGCACTAATAGAGAGATGTCAGAGTGAGGGGGCTGCCCACAGCGGGCGTTCCTGAGTGGGTGGGGAAGTCAAGTGCCTTGCTAAAGGACACATCAGCAGTGCTCAGGAAGTTAAGTGGCGCCTCTCCAGCTACCAGACTTTTTTTTCCAGACTTGTCCCCACTAAGTCCCTGCAGACTGAGGTGCTGCCGCCCCATGCATACTGCAGGAAGTTCAATGCTGATCCAGTAGCAGGGATCAACATGATTTCTTATCACCAACATTTTGCACGGAGCCGACCATAAAGCAGAGAAACACATCCTTCAATAAAAAGAGAACGCTTCCCTCAACCACTCTCGCTCTCCTCAGCTACTTGTTGTGGTTCCTTTAATTGGAAACAGGTTGTCAGAAAAAAAACGCTAATTGACTAACAAAGTGAGTGGAGCAACACAAACTCACCGTGCTGTTGAAGACCACACTGTGGCCGTTCCCCACACTTTCTATGTGGGTGGAGACGTTGAGGCAGATTGCCCTGTGCCGGATAGCGTCCATGGTTTGGGCATCGAAGAAGTCATGAGGCTTTGCTGGAAGGGGGAGAAGGACAGACTCACATGAGGCCAGACTCAGAGTCACATAAACATCACACCAGGGCTTCTACTCTACAAGTATATCATGGCTTTTCAAAGTCAAGCCAACTAACCGCAACTATGTCACTATCATCCCCTGACTGATAAAAGCTTTTTGTGGATTTTAAACGTGAACTTGGATCAATAAAACACCTACAAATACATCTGCAAGAAACGTATCCACAAGTATGAGATTAAAGCTTCAGGGAAAACTTGTAAGAAGTAATCACTAGTGAGTTTTCTTTGGGTTAAACAACCAAACCAGCAGAAATATGATAATCTCTCTTTTATTATCGGATAAAAAAAAAAAAGCTAACCAAAAAATGTGCCAGCAACTGTTGCAACTTGTATGAACTCGTAAGTGTTAGGAGTGGCATGTGTACATGTGCACAGTGTGCATGCGCCTGCGATTGTAGGAGTGAGTGTGTGTGCGTGCGTGTGTGTGTGTATGGATACGTAAGCAGACGCTTGGGTGAACTGTAGCACGGATAAGCTAAATGTTTTTTTGCACATTTGTAATTACTGTTTTTATATTGTTTTCGATGTATTGTCTATGCAGCAATTTCCCAGCATCCGAGACAAATTTCTCCCGAGGGAGACGAATAAAAAAAACCTTGACCTTGAACTTATATCTGAAACAATCAATAGAATCTGGTTAAAATAACTTTCATGTTTAGCCATTATTTTCCAAGCATTTAACTCTGAAAGAACTTGCAGATAACTTGTGTATTTCCATACAACTTGATGCTTTTGGTTGGTTTGTCAGATTACAGAGTTATTGACAAACATTCTCTTCTTCAAGGCAAACAATATCCTTCTCGCATTTTCTTGTCTTTTTTAAATGTATTTTCTCACATCATGTCTCATGAATAAAAAGTAGTGCTGTCAAATGATTCATTTGTTAAGTTGCGCTCAATCACTGAATTTCAATAGATAAACGCGATCAATCACATTTTTGATTAATTGCATGTATAATGGTCATTGCATGCATTTTTTAATTCAATATTAACAATGTGAAGCAATTCTTACCATTGTCTTAATTTGGGAATCAAATTAATGCAATCTTGTGTACTTTATGATCTTTATTATTTAAAAAACGTGCTGCACTGCTACACCAGTGTTGTCTGAAACCATGACTTAGAGGCAGCTTCAGAGTGCTTATTCTGTGAAATACAGTATCTGAAAGGATAACACTGTAAGACATCAATATGTAAGAGTGCATGTACAGAATGATTCATTGACGCCCAATGATCCCGGTTTAATGCGACCTGGAGTTCCAGTTTATTTGCTTTCTCTGTGTAAATTAACATTAATGATTAAACTGAGATACCCTCAAGAAACGGTTTTGTTATGCTTTTATTTTGTGTTTTTACTGTCCTAAGCTAAGGTGACTAGGATTTAAAGAGAAAAAACTGCTTTTATTTTGAAAGATATTTGGACAGGTGTTGCAGATTAGCATTTTGCTATAAACTCTTAAGAGCAGTGCATTTTGGACTTGTTCATGGTTAAATGTTAGAGCACCAATGTTTTCCTGTGTCCATTTTAAATAAACAAAGAAATAAATGATCAGGAGCACAGCACTAAGCAACACTTGGCTAATTACAGTGTCAAGGAAAAACAGAAAAATACTATAAGACTACAGAGCAAAGAGTAGTGGGTTTGAAACTCAGAGTATTGCCATGGAGAGAATCCATCTGTGTAGCTGACACAAGCCTATGCACCAGCCTATGCACCTGTGTGTGTGTGTGTGTGTGTGTGTGTGTGTGTGTGTGTGTGTGTGTTCCAGCTCTAGCTTCTCCAACAAAGAGATGTTGGAACTTGTTGAGAGAAAGCACGATGAGAAACATTTGACAAGGGGTTAGTTTGTGTGTCTGTTAGGTACGTACGTAGTGAGCACCTGCGTTTGTTCTTGAGCTTCCTCCTCTTATTGAGACTGGCCTTGGAGGGTGACTCCTCCTTGAGTTTGGCTTGGCCCGACATTTTGGAGGAGCTCTGCTGGCTGAAGTGGCTGGGGACATGGCGAGCTAACCCTCCTTGGGAAGCAAAGCTGGCGTTGCAACCTCCAACCACACACTAAAGCGAAGCACAACAACAAAAGGAAACTTTGTTTATTTGCCATATGGGGACACACTGTGAGAGAAGTTACTGAGGAATTCTATTTAAGTCAATAGTACTTTAGAGCAGGTCCTGTGAATCAAGAGAGATAAGATGATGGATTGGGCAAGATGGTGATACTACAACTTTTACCCATGGAACAACTCTTATCAGACACCAAAGTTCTCTGATCATTACAACTTTGTGCATTTGAGTTGATTTCTTTTTACCTTGAAGGGTTTATCTCCACTGTGGGTTAACATGTGTCGCTGAAGCCAACTTTGACTGGTGGACGGTGTGTTATACACCTTACAACCCTTCCATAGACACACAAAAACCTGAGGGATAAAGAGAAACAGTTATAAAGAGGGAAGAGGACGTGTATGGATGCAAACTGGGAAACATACGTAACAGAACATAATGTTGCACAGTGAAACAACAAGGGAGAGGATATATTTTTGGCAAAGACAGTTTGGAGCAGGATTGACAAAAAGACAAAAACAGATGTTCTCTTATTATATATGTTGCACTGACTTGTCCTAACTTTGACTCTGTGGAGTCTGGAGACTCTTTAACGTAGCCTACAGACTGTAGATCCACCAAAGTGTTTCAAGTCAAGAAAGTGGAAAAATGTCATAATCACATATCATGATCGCAGGTTATTCATCTTCATCATTTTGTTTGTTTTTTTCCCCTCTTTATTTTAACTGTGCATGCAGAATGAGTGTATGAGTGTGTGGCACATTACAGTTTATGAAAACCACACAACCATTACGATACAACAAGTGGCCTCTGAAGCAACAACCGATAATTGGATTCCAAATAATTATATTTCCGCATTCAAAGATAGGTTAGAAAATTCTCAATATTCATCCAAATCCCATTTTTTGTAGCTCTAGTTTTTTGTTTTGTTTTCAAACATCCTTTTTTTTTTTTTTACTGATAACATCTTCATCAAAAACAGTGTCTCCTTAAAGTCAGATACTCCACAAAATGCACAGTGAACAATGGGACTATTTCTACGGGAGAAAGTAGTTAGAATAAGTTGATGCTGCCCACATTAATACTGAATAGCTGCATGTAGTCCAGTAACACTTAACCCCTCAACTCTGCCTCGAGTGTTCACTTTCAAATAAACAGCAAAAAAAAAAAAAAGGCTTCATGATTTATATGTGTCCTGTCAGAAAGACTTAAGGAGATCAACACAAAGCTTTTATCAAAGTTTAAAAAGTCTACTGACCCCTCCTCTCTGCCCATCAACGTGGATCCCTCTGATGTGCTCTGCGAGGTCAGGACTGGAGTTGTAGCACTGTGGACAGAGGTCCCAGCAGCAGGCGTAAGCCACTGTTTTCGACCCGGAAGAGCTGGGAATGCTCTGCCCGTTCATCATAGCAGGGGTGGAGCGCCCGCTGGATACCGTGCTCTCCATCTCCATCAGGGTACTGCTGATACTGTAAGGACAGAGAGAGTGGGGCGGAAGGAAGAATTGAGTCCCACTAATAACAAAAAAAAAAAAAATAGGATGTTGTTAAAGCCATAAAGTCTATCTTCACAGCTTTGCACAGTCATGAAGAACAGGTGCAGACACATTAAGGAGGCTCTGTGCGTGAAAGCCTTCGGGCTGAAGCTGATTTTCCACGCATACCACTTTAATCACTCGTGCCAAATCAATTATATCTTTGTGTTTAATGATTCTGGCACTATGTTGTAAACGTGGCGTGCTTTCAACATAAATAAAGGGTTCATAGGCAAAAGTTTACTTATCACTGATTCATCTAGAAACATTTAATTTATCCCTTTTTCAACAGAGGTTATTTTTGCTCTAGTTTTAAACGTGATAATAACAGAATAAATTTCAATAGTGTCATTTTCCCACCATTTGTATGGCATCCCTCCAGTGAGTAGGCCTATTTGCATGTTAATTTGTGTCATGTAAGTTGAAGGCAGGGATTCACTGTACAAGAACCTGCTAATTGTACAAACTTGAGAAAAGTCCAATAGGTCAGTGGTCTGAGTGTTTGGGGAGACCTTCTGTCAGCAATAAACAGCTGACTGTCAGTCTTGTGGGTTTTTAAAAGCTGCATTTTTTACATCTGTTTATGACTTGAAGCAGTGTTTGTATAGATGTAAATATTAAACCACATTACTTTCAATTATTCCCAAACAGAATGTGTCAGCAGCACCAATTATTGAAAGCAGCAGATACTTGAACTTGATGTCAAATAGTTGCTCATTTCATATAATTCTCTACCTTTTATGATGATTTCAATCATAACTTTACCAGTTTTATTATGTTGCACATTTTTTAAGCAGGGAATAAAGCAGGGACATTTTTTTTAAAAGTAAAAACACAAGACGATTCTGAAGCTGGAGTTGCATTTATAACCATGTTAGGCACTTTAAATGAAAAGTCAGAGTACCTATGTGTCTTACAACATGCCTGAATGTGTGAGGTGACTTCATTAGTGGTTTGTATATAAAAAAGAAGCTTTCAGTGTTAGTAAGGCCTGTTAACAACAACAACAAAAAAAACCTAATTACTTGTGATTTCATGCTCGTTCAAAAGGTGGGATGGAGAGACAACACCTCATAGTAATCTGCCATTTTCCCCAATTTACCTGTCTTCCGAGTCCATACGACTCAGCGGTTCCCCATCCGAGGATGATATCTCCACGCTCGGCCGCCTCTTGTCGCCCAGCTCCCCGTCCCCTCCACCGGTGGGTTTCTTCACATCCTCACAAACTGTTTTACTCTTCTCGCATTCCGTCCCCGAACACCGACTGTCCTCTCCTGGTTCCTCCTTCGCTTCTTTAACGGCGGTGTTGTTGGAAGGTTCGGTTATGCAGTCCCCCTCGCTTTCCTGGGATTCTGGCTCCGGTTCTAGCTCCCGGTCTTCCGCAGCGGCTGTCGCCTCCGGCTCGACCGGCAGAGCCCCGCTGTCCGTCTCAACCGCCTCGCTGGCGGCCTTGTCTGCAGCTGCAGCGGGCTTCTCTTCACCGGCCTCCGCGTCCGCCTCTTCCATTTTCGGTTCTACCCTACTGCCTGATGGCTTCTCTGTTTCCGGTTCGGTGAGGCCCTCTTCTTTTTCTTCACTACCCACTGCCCTTTCTTCGTTGCCCTCGTTTTTCACGACTGGCGGTGCGTCATTCTCAGCCGGCAGAGCGGGTGTTTCTTCCGTCGCCGCAGCAGCCATTTCAGCGGCGTAACCGACGCACCGTGGGACACTTTCGGTATTAAAATTCTACCGTTGCACAGTCAGACGTTTCACTGCAGAAGAAGGGCGTGGTCAATCACACTGTCTGCTCTCTGATTGGTCAGGGGCGGCACGATGAGGAGGAAAAACCTCTGATGTTGGTATTTTAACTTTCCATGTGGATCTGAATTCAGAAATCACAAGTCGTCTTTCACCGAGAAGTCAGAGTTTACAACGAAGTTACTGTCATTTTAAAATAAAACTATATTTGCCTGATAGTCTTGCATAGTAGAATGTAATGGCAGAATATGCATTTTGTTTTTTTATGTTTATAAATGACGTTTTCATAATTTTACCAAAGATTTTAAAGTTATTTCAAGCTATTCATGAGGATAACTTTGTGTTGAGTTTAATTAGTGTTTGACAAACCGTCTTTACATGGCATTGAATGAGCTACACTAAACTTTTCTCTTTTAATACAATCTTCCCACATAATAAAATTAAAGTATTCTCTACAATCCTCACCCATCAAGATTAACATTTACCTGGCATTACCTTTTCAACTGAGTAATGGTCCTATGCTGATTTTAGGAGATTGTTTGGAGTGTATTTTAGAAGAGTATTGCATCACTGTAAGGTGACATGATGTATAATAAGAGTTATTTATCAGGCATTTTGACTGATGTGCTGGCACAGGCTGAAAGTCAATCTCTCTCATGCTGTCGTGTCACTCTTGACATAAAAGCAAGTATTTTTTGTTTGTTTTTAGAGGAAATACTTTGGTTGAACACAACTTTTGAGTATGCTTTTTTACCCTCCTGTATTTGTTGTGTAGCAAGAATATGTTGTGTTTTATACTTTGTCAAATAAATGGAAACTGGAACTTTGTCCAAAGTGACATATCTGAGAGTAAGTCAAGCAAGGACCTGGAAAGAAGGAAACATCACTAGTGCCAATGAACAACTTAAAGTCCAACACAGATGGTGACAGGCAGAGAGCACAGAGACAAAGCAGTTTTTTTTTTGTCTTGTGCTGTCTACACATTCAAGAGCCTAAGGAAATCGCCAACGTTGCTGCAGCAGAAAGGCCACAAGAGGGAGCCATCCTGTTATCTTTAAACGAGCTTAAACCTCAACCCAATGAGACCATTCCACAGTTACCTTTATCTGTATCCTACAAGTCTCTGATGAGACTTACAAATTAGTCAAATGGTTCTTTTATAGCATACATTCTAAGCTTCTTTCTAAAATAATGAATGCAGTAACTAGTTCATATTCACATTTTTTTTAAAGCACAATGTGTTGTACATTATTGATTACTACAGGACCAACTACAGCTGGCTATAAGGGTGGTACAACACAAAAAGAAACAAAAACATTTTATAAAGAACAGCAACATTTATTTAACATGATATAAAACAGATGGAATATGAACATTTGCAAATCAAATCTAGTATGTAACCATTAAGATGGATACATATTCCCATCCTGTTATACCATGTACAGTATATACACAGTTAACCTCTAATAATTACACTTTTTACACACAGGAAAAAAAAAATATTACTCCTGGATCCACAAACATTTAAATTGTATTGCTTTTTACATGTGCTAATCTTCGTTTTAGTTCCAAGACATCAAACCAACATTTCATAAAATAGAACCAAACTCTGCTTTGTTTCCTTCTCTTTGTTTAAATATATATCTCAGCAATAAAAAAAGACAGTATAGAGAGACTGAAGGCTGAACATTCACATATTTGTCGGCAACAATGCGACAGGTACTGCAAAACATCCTTTTTTAAACAACAACCCAGGAAAAGGAGAAATTACAAATAGTCTTCTCTATAATCAGTCTGCAGTAATGAAATGCCCCCCCCCCTTTCATCATAATAGATCATCTATATCTCTTTATACTAATCTTTCGCATAGACAAATGTTTCATACAGTAGATAAATATGACAGGCTAGTTAATGACAGATGTCTGAAAAACTAATTAGGTGACTTATTAAAAGATTTGAGGGAAATAAAATGATGTAAAAAGTTCTCATTCCTTATGGGATAGGTGGTGAAAAAGAGGCCTTATGTAACAAGCCTTTAGTCTAACTTCAGATTTCAGTCTTTTTGCCTCATATCTATGTACAGTTGACCCACGTTTAAACAAGAACCTAATAAAACCATATAAATAATGAAAAACAACCTTAAAAGTCTTGTAAAAAATGAAAATGGAACCGCAATTATAACAGTATCAAAGCTGCATTGCCTCTCTAGGTTGAGGAAAGTGTGGTGCCCAAAAGGCGAGAACAACAGAAACTGTCACACAAAATGTTTTTGGTGGCATAGGAGCTTAAGACGTCACAGTGGGAGTATAGAAGTCAGAGGTTAAGACCCCAGAGTTCAGAATAGGCAGTTTCTCTCTCTGTAGGCAGTAGCCTTGTGCTGATGTTCTTAGAAAGTCTTCTGAAGCATCTTTATACCTCCAAGGCTTCTTCCTTCATGTGTAGGTTTTTACTGAGGCCAGAGCCTGTGCTGCAGAAAGAGAAAGGGAGATTTTCAAATGTGGACTCAGTTCTATTGTAAGTGGGCCACATTTACTAGATACACCAGTGCAGTGCAGTCTGTTTCATTCTACATAACAGCTGTTAAGTCTACTTAGATGATGCCTATACTGTTCAGTGTGAGCATGCAAGGCATCGGCAAACACAGAGACGCAACATAAAGGAGACTGAATGTGAATGACCAGCTTCTAGTTCATTTTAACAACTTTGCTCTATACCATTAGCTACATCATTTCTTGGTGGTTAAAATCAACACATTTGTCATAATATCCAAGTCACAATTGTGAATAATGTAAACTGGTAAAGTTAGTTAACCAAATAATATATCCTCTGAGATATTATTTTGGTAGCAATGACTTAGCAAGCGGGAAAATTGCTGTGTAATTCTAAGTGATAAAGATGTGTGACTGTAATCTAGCAAATCAGCCTTTGAGGAATAGGACTTTTGATGTTCTAATCAGTGTTTTGCTCCATTTGTCAGCTAGCAATTTGTATACCAAACTAAGATCCCCGAGATCATAATCAGAATATTTTCTTTCATTGCCAAATACACATTTAATCACATTAAAGGAATTTGACTTGGTGTTTTGGAGTAAACAATTAGCAAAGACATAAAGCAAAAATAGTAAGATGCATCATTCATGGTTGACCTTGAAGTTGGTCATACTCATTTGCCAGATGGGCTTCACTAGATCAAACTTTTTGTGCTTTGTGATTGACTGTTTTCTAATATTCTGCCCCCCTCATGTATGTAAACTGAAATAGCCCCGTTTGAGAAGCACATTCAATCTCTTACCTCCATCAGTGTGTGAATGGGTAGGTGTGACCGGCATTGTTAAAGCGCTTTGAATAGTCAGAAGACTGTGAAAAGCGCTATAGAAGCTCAAGTCTATTTACCTCAGTAATAAGCATAATTTAATGTACTCAAGAGTTAGAGCTAAGTTTTTGTTTTGTATTGCTTGAGATTGTTTTGGTGTACCTTATACATTGGGCACTGGTTGTTTGTTACGGCCATTTGACATTGACATTTGTTCCACAGACTACACGCACTACCACAATACATTAAAAATGGTGGCTCTACAGCAAACTACAAAACATGACTTAAGCCTGGTTTATACTTCTGCATCCAACCTACGCCGTTGTGTCTGCGTAGTTTTGCAGGTCCTCCGCCTACTAACACCAAATGACAGTGCCATTTCTGTGCTAGTGATATCGAAAGTATTTGGTTCTGCCACATTCTCTGATTATATGTGTAAAGGAAACCATGGCGACCACAACTGAGAGTATTATGTTTGAGTCAGAACTGATATGAAGCAGCAGTGAATATTGAGCAGCAGTTGATTATACTGTAATTATTGCAAAGAAGAAAAGAGAGGAGACATCGCAGGAGATGGAATGGAATGGATGGAATGTACAACTCAATAGCATTGTTAGCTCGGGCTACTAGTTAGCCTATGTTAAACGCACGGAGGTTCACGATGCAAAGAAAATATATTTATTCCTTGTAATAATTAGACTCGATATCTCAATGTTTTACAAGTGGTGCAAAAATGTAGACCAATCACTGTCTGCGTTGTTTCCATGCTTAGTTAAATTTTTGATGTGGTGGACATCAGGCGCATGTGTGTAGGTTTTTGCAAAGGTACATGGCTACGCGAACCTATGGCGAATGCTACCGAGTAGATTTGACGCAGAAGTATAAGTCAGGCAGCATGCTGACGTGCTTTTCCTCCCCAAAGACAACATTAAACACTTATAAACACTGAGTATGGACAAAACAGATGAATGCCCTTACTGGTGCAACTACACACACATGAAGTGAGACCCATCAGTGAGTTGAGGGGGTGTGTTAGGAGACTGTGGAAGGGGTGGGGGAGAAGACGACAGGCTTTTCACTGCAATGAAACAGAGCAACATGTTGAACAAACAAGCAGGCGCACATTAAACAACACAAAATGAATCCAATAAGCAGCTAATGACTAAACAGCCAAACAACACAAAAAATAATGACAGGAGCCAATGAATTTAATGAATAACTTAATATAATGATAAATGACTGAACTGCAGTTTCATAAACCGACATTAAAAAGTAGTGACCTGTAAGAACAAGGCTCACCCTCTTCTCTCCTAAGACATACCTGCTACCAGCTTGCTGCGTTTGGAGGCCTCTGCTGCCAACTCGTACGAGATATTAATCATCTTCTCTTTCTCCTGTACGGTGACCTCGTCCACGGTATCCTCCTCTGGGCTTACAGCCATACCAGGCAGAACATTCTGCATGCTGGGAGAAAATACAAATACAACATGTTGTCTTTAAAAACACATGTATAACTTTTTAACTCTAACGATACCAATCAGGTTCCATAAGCAGAAAATATCACAGATGATGATTTCTACTTTAAATGCACTCATGAATCAGAGGCAATTAAAGAGATGTAAACGTATATATTTTATAAATCCCTCGTCTTTTCCAAAAGACAAACAATCTGAACATGAGGGATGGGTTTGATTGTTGTTATGTAGGTCTAAATAATAC